TCGTCACTAAGTATTTAAGTCAATACCTTATATAACATCAAAATGTACAACTGGAATTTATTTGCATATTTTAAGTGATTCAAATCGTGTCCAGAGTTTTTGTCAACACCATCAGATTTTTAAAAAAGTACAAAAAAATCAGGAATGATTGTGGGCAGCTTACACTCTGAGGACCCCTTTACCACTTCCTGATCAATACACATGCCATGGTGAGGTTTTTTGTTTTCATTTCATTTATCATCCCTCATGATCTTCCAATAAAAATAGTTAATTTTCTCAATAATGTGTAATTTTCATGCTGCTAAATATGATTGTTTCTTATGTACGACTGTAACTCTAATAACAAAAAGCCAAAACAATCTTACTTTTAAACCTGGTATAATTAGTTTGAAAATGTGCATAAACAGTAGAACAGAGAAGCTGCTAAAAGTCAAAATAGCTGAAACACTTAATTTAAAATATATATTTGTGCATTTCTTTGTGTCTGATGGTGTTGACTAAAACGTTGCACTTCTCCAGCAAAAACATAAATGATTAAAAATGTTACACCTGGGAGATCAAAACATGGTAAGACGGCCAAAACTTATAGTGTAACAATTATATGTAAATATGATTTTGAAAAATCAAAAAATACTTTTTAGAAAATTAAAACCTGTTTTGTCCCAAATCTCAGGAATCACTGATTTGTCATTTTAACACTGAGAAACACGCAGAAACTCAAAGTGTCCAAAGACTGAATGAGTCAGTCATGAAACTAAATCAGAAAAGTTATTATTTAAAAATCAACAATGAATATGTGAGAAGCATCATCATCATCATCACGACACACTCACACGCACATAAATGTGTCACGCCTCCTCGGCCTGTGAACCTCGTTATTTCTCTGCTTTTACTTCCTGTCAGGTCAGCGATCGTCTGTCACACTTTCTACAAAAACGAGCCCAAAAATGTAATTTCAAAATAAGAGCCCAAACAACCAAACATCTCTCAGAGGAACCCCCCCCCAACCATCCACCCACCACCTAACTCTTGTTGTGGGTGGGGCTCAGCCAGGAGAAAAACTGGGCAGATGAGGAGGAAGTGGAGGAGGTGGAGGCAGCGATGCGAGGGCCGTGGGTCTCCCTCCTGGAGGGACAGCAGGTGGAGGTGAGCGTGAGCAGTACGAGGCTCCTGAATCCTGCAGATTAAGATTTCAGATTAAAAGATGGTTAAAACGGATTTGGCTGCAGACACGCAGAGACGACCAAGACGTCACCTGGAAACTCACCTGGTGTCTCATACCTGAGATAAACTTCCTGTTTGCTCCAAACTATTTTAAATCCTGTCCTGATGTTCAAAATGTTGACCTTTGACCTTTGACCTTTCTATTTCCAAACTGACTTCCTGCTGGATTTGGTTGGTCTTTATTTCCTCTCGCTCTGATGTCACGATCACAGAATGTTACATTATATTATTTTAATCTGCATGAATGAACTTTTAAATAATTATAAACAGTTTTTCTTTATATTAAATCAAGTGTCTGCAGAGCTGAAGCAAACTGGCCCAAAGACATGTTTCAGATTATTATTATGAATTCAATGTTAGAGCAACATTAATGACAGACATGTGGTGGGAGAGAAATTTACATATTTAATAAATGTAAATGTTTATTATGAAGAATAAAATTATGCTTTAATGAAGCCTGAATAAAACAGTGATAATGCTCCTTTTTTTATACTACAGAGAATTAAAACTGTCATTACACAGACTGACCACAGGGTGTCAGCAGAGCTGTGTCTCCGCTCCTTGTGTTTATTAGAGAATAAAGTTTAGCGTCAGTCTGCAAGTTTGTTTCTTTGTAAGTTTCTTTGGCCTTTCCCCCCCACGCTGCTGTGCTCCAGTCAGTACCACAGTAATAGTATTAATAGTATAAGTACTGCGGTAACAGTGATAGTAGTATGGGGGTAAGAAAAAAGTAAAATAAGAAAGAATAAAGTTCAAATAATTTTATTATTATAGATTTTTTTAGACAATCAGTGCTCGCTTTAAAACCAAAAACTGTAACCTGATTTCATTTATTTGTAGTCGCTGTGAGTTTAAAGTGTTTCTGTAAGAAGCAGAATTATTATGTTTATAATAAAACGCATCAGTGATCGTCTAAAAGTAAAGATTAATTCATCTTTAATTTAGTGTGACCAAAAAAATCCTAGAAAAGCTGTTTTTATCCTTTTAAAACAAAAGTATTCTGAGTCAGAGTCACATGCTTTTCACAATAAAAGCATGCCGCAGGTGAGCATACCTGAGCTGTGCGGCAGTGATGTTCATGCGGCTCCGTGTGGCGTTTATGTGCAAATAAAGCAGCCGACGTAAGCCCACGCCCTCTGCAGGATGACCAGGAGGGCGAGCAGGTAGAAGAACAGTGTGACAGCCTGCAGGTGGAGAGGAGGGTGGAGGAGGGATGAGGAAGAGGATGGAGGTGAGAGGCGGTGGATTATTTCCTAACTCTAACGAGCCGGCTGAGCGGCTCAGGTGGGACGTCTCCACCTGTTCATTCAGGTGTAGCTGTGCTGCCCTCCTGCTCCCGTACACGGAGGGTTAAAGCTCTGATTTTTCCTTTTTCCATATTTAACCTGATGTCTGAGGGC